TAATTTGCTGAACCATCATTTACACTTATGAACATTCAAAACATTTCCATAAACTTCTTTGATATTCTTTATGGCTAAAGAGGTATTGTTTCCCTTCTTGTATTCAAGCAACATTACATGCCGAATGCGGGTCTCATTGTGTGACATCACTATAAGGGATTAGAGTATACTAAACTTTACACATTATATAGGCTACACTAACGTAACATTTAAGCAGTTCATTTAACTCTTATACGTGATGTATGTTTTGTGGGGTGGGGGGGATTAATAAAAGTGTTCCAAAACATTAATTTCTTGATGGCCTAATACAAGTTTGTTGGACACATTACAGCAGATGAGTTACATAAATATTTGTACTCAAGATATGTATGTAACTTGATGAGATCAGTCTGACTTCAACTCTGACAAGTCAATTAATCATATTCATATGAAGTATTAAATTATCTTTGGCCATTGTACAGTTTGCATATTGCATTTGCTTAACCTCTAGAGCCTCTGAAATTCATATCTACAGTTTTTTTTTAGTATACCTGTATATTGTATCTGGTTATTTATTCTCTTCTAGCTTAATACCATGTTGAATGGCACTTAGACCCCCCCCCCCCCACTGCAAATAGAGTTAATATTTCCTTTATGACATTTTATTTATTTAATGATTATCTACATCAATCTTAAGCTAAATAGTCTTCTTTGTAATGAGTCACACTGATTCTTACCGATATGAGTATACAATAATTTGAATGAGTTTTTTTTCTTAACTTATCAATATGAGTTTTCAGCAATCATTTGTGAAGAAAGAAAAATTGGTTTTTATTCTTAACATGAAATGAATTGATTTTGGGAAATAAATAACAGTTACAATATTTTCATTAGATGTTAACCCAACGAAGGTCTCGCTGTGAACACATGGACCTTGATCCTCTGGCTTGGACAAATCAGAGGTTTATCAAGTGGGTGAAGAGTATTGATCTAGAGGTGAGTCTTTTAACATGGAAAATTAGCCTAACTGTAAGAGCTCTGTTACCTCTATATTATAATCAAGTGTATATTCACAAACCAGCTCTATCTTATTAATAGATCAAAATAACAAAAACTTTTGATTAGTATGTTTATCTTTGGAAATATTACCAAATTGATTGGTTGTTAATGAGTTTGTCAATGATATCTCTTATTCATTCAGTAATTGTAATGCTCCATTTTGTTTGTTAGCTGTTGTAAACAGTTAAACAGGTCTCATCAAGTTTGTTATTCACTGTTAAATTTGGCATAATTCTGATATACATATATATATATAAGAGAAGTCATTCCCATTTAGAAATGCTGGTTAAAGAAATTGGATTATATGAATATAAATATTTGGTTTTAAATTAAAGCTTTGAATATAAAAAGAAATATATATATATATATATATATAAACTTACAATAATTTTATTCAACAATGTTAACCTTGCTCATACACTGAAGTTCAAACTGCTCTTCTGGTATGGCTTGAATATTCAGTTGAATCTCCTGATGTAGGAATATGCAGAAAACCTTCAAGGTAGTGGTGTTCATGGTGCATTGGTAGTGCTGGAGCCATCATTTACTGCTGATACCATGGCAATGGCTCTAGGTATTCCTACCTCAAAGAACATCATACGGAGACACTTAACAACAGAATTAGATAGTTTAATACAACCAGCAAGGTAAGTTATTTGTAGATTTGGAGGTAATGGTAATTATTGCAGAATATTGTAAATATTATAGTAAGATATGAGAAATATGCAAGATTGATTTGTTCTATATTTAATTATGTAGAATGTGAATGATTTAAAATATTATTATACTCAGTGGTGTTATACTTGTACACTGACTTGTACTTTGTTTTATAGCAAAAGTTTGCTGTGAAGCTACCTTGACATATTACATCATTTTGAAAATTAGTCCCAGTTGTAAATGTCACTAATTTTTTTGGTCCCCTGCTTATGCATTTCTTTTTAAGTAGATGCTAAGAGAACATTTTAATAATAGATATGTATGCCTGTGGAATTTGCAACAAATAAACCTGAATAAAGCAGTAAATTTTGTGATAAATAAAACAAAATATCAGTCACTGTGTATTAAGTATTTGACTGCACCTTTGAAATACAGTATTCATAATATTAGGTTTGAAAAAATATATAATTGCTTGATTATTGAGGTGTACTGTAGACAAAAAGTTTAAGTCTTGCATGGTGATGCACTTCTTGTATACTGACATGGAGGTTAACAGTATAGTATATCTAGTATTGATGCATGGTGGTGTACTTTTTGTATGCTAACATTGAATTTAACAATGTTATCACTGGGAGGATAAGAGAATAATAAGATTTGTATGACCAGTTTTATGAAGATATTTACATAACAGCTTTGCATCTGTATCCTATAGGATGTCTCTAGAAGCAGAAGCAGTCTTTTATTCACGGAAAAATCAGAAAAAAAACGCTGGATCCTCATCAATTAGTGCAACTGGTTCATTAGGTCGTAGTTTTATGAGATCTCACTCTAGGGCTACGTTAGATAGGACTGACAAGCGGCATACAAACACAAGGGTAAGAACATTTAAGTTGTCTTAATCAGATAGTAATTGTAATCTAAGATGTAATTAGAAAAGAAATTAAAAAATCAAAGATGTATATATATTTTTTTTAATTTAGTGTAAAACGTGCCAAGATTATGAAAGCTATTTAGTTCATAAATTTTGGGCTTAGATCAACTGTTTCGATAAATCTGAGCAATTGTAGACTATTGCCTTGTTTAAGGAATGTTCTGTAATCTATTTAATTAATTTTATACATATGAATGTTTTTTAAGAATTGTTCTGCAGTAATACGATTGGTGATTGTAGAACACTGCACTTCTTTAGAATTGTTCTGAATACACAAATCAAAATAAAAAGTTAAGGTACACCATTGTTTGAAAACACGTAGGTGCATTACAAGTGAAAATATACAGTTTACATGTATTAACGACTATGAACAATTCACATGCACAAGAAGTGAGGCAGAAATGTGAGTTAAAAATGGTACGAGAATAAACAATGTGTATGATGTTACATGGTAGTTCAGCAATTTGGAAAGTTGACAAAAGTCAACTAGTAAAGAATTTGACTTTCCTGAGCTCTACAATGATTATTCATGTTCTCAACGAGGCAGTTGATCAAGTCCTGTGAAATTACGGACCACACTTCATACAGAGCTATTGCCAGCTGGGAAGGGATACAGATAGGTGATGTCAGGCTACTACAGGTCTCTCCAGGACGTTCCAAATGTGCTCAATTGGATTAAGGTCTGGCAGACATGCCAGCCACTCTTATTTCAGTTCCATTGGACTTGAAGGTATTTGTCTACAATCTTGACTTTATGTGTTTGGCATCATCATCATCATTCATTAAAATGAAAGAATCTCCAATAGCACCAACATGTGGGTGTACGTACTGTTCAAGGATAATGTCCCTATATATCAATGCATCCATAGAGCCATTCTATAAAATGTAGAGGTTTGTACAAACATCGATGAAGATACCAGCCCATACCAATATTCCACCAACTCCAAAGGCTTTCCTTTCTCGATTGTTCATTATGTGTTCTATAGGCCCTAACATGTTTGGAATTACTCTCCAACCTGAAATTGGTTAAGTGAACAGAACATTGATACATCTGTTATTAACCCAAGTGAGATGTTTCTGACACTTTCTTTTCCTCTCTGCACAATGAGACTAGGGTAATGGAATACAAACAATAGGTCTTCAGAATAGAATCCAATCCTGTGAAGTCGATTCCTTATAGTTTGGGCAGATATTTGAACATAAGAAGTCGAATATAGCTGTCTGGAAGTAGCTGGTGTTGCTACTCTCCTATATCACCTGGCTAGTAGTAATATGTAGCATTTCTTGGTCACTGGTGTAACTACTATGTCAAGAAACTGTTTCCACATCTGATTCACCATTATATGTGACATTTCAAGCCAGGACACAACTTGTTGCTGACTCTGTTCTGCTTTGAGTCTTTCATTTGCTCTCCACATTAGAATGTTTATTGTGAAAATACTATTCAATTGGTTTATTTGTGTGAAAGTTTAGCTCAGGAGATCCAAAGGCAAGAAATGAAGGTTTCCAATTTTTATACCTGTATGAGATACTTGCATATTTTTACAAGCATTCCTTCTTCAAGTAATATGTGAATATAATTTTAAATGTTGTTCAACCACAATCTTTCTTGTCTGCTCTTGTTTATTTTTAATTTTTAAGAAATTAGAGATATTCCTTAACTTTGTTTGGTGTGTGTATGTTTGTATATCTAGGTGGTAAGACCAACCACAACCCTTCTTAAGAATTGTTTGTATTATGTTAGTGGTTGTTTTTTTAGGAATTGTAATATACATGAGTGACTGTATACCATTGTTTTCCTAAGAATTATCCTGTTATATGTGTGAGCTGTAGGACCACCATGTTTTTTGTATTGATATGTAACATATCTGAGTTACAGGACCATTGTCCTTCTTTAGAATTGTCCTGTAATTTATCCAAGGGGTTGGATGGACCACCATCCTTTTTTAGAACTGTTCTGTAATACCTGAGTAGTTGTACACCACTGCTTTTTTTAAGTTTTTTTTGTAATGTATACAAGTAAATTTAGATTACTTCATTTTTTTAAGAACTGAATAATTTTTGACTACTGTCCTCTTGTTACCGTCCCAGTGAAACATTTATATGATTTTAAATTACTGGTTTAGATTGGACTCATTTTGTTTAGTATTTGTAAGTTCTGGAATTGGAACCAATTTTGAATTAGGCTATGTTGTGTTTTTGCATCCTTTTTTTAAGTGAGCCCTCTAGAATTTTTAGGATACATTATTATTACTGAGACATGTTGTAGACATAGAAATAATCCATAGTGTTTAAGAAAATAAAAAAAATTCTGGAACAAATTGTTCATTTCATATTTACAGTGCCTTTTGCACAAGTATTCACACCCTACCAATAATGTCACATTTTGATGAAATACAAGTAATGTAAACAATTGTTTTAATGAACTTGTTTTAATTTAAAACTCTAATGATCAAACTTAACACTGTTATGTGTGAAGGAAGTTGAATGTCAATAAAACCTGCAAAGAAAATATATAAATTGAAATTTGCCGAAAGCATAAGTATTCAGACCCTAAGTCAGTACTTGGTGGAAGCACTTTTGGCAGCAATTAATGCTCTGAGTCTTTTCTGGTTAGGTCTCTACCAGCTTTTCACAATGAGCTGGTGTAATTTTCATCCTTTTTGAATGGCAAAATTGCTCCAGTTCCTACAAGTTCATTGGGGATCATTGATAGACTGCTATGTTAAAGTCTCGCTATAAATTTTCCATTGGATTCAAGTAAGGACTTTAACTGGGCCACTCCAGGACATTCACTTTCTTCTTTTGAAACCACTCCAATGTGGCTTTGGCCTTATGCTTTGGACCACTGTCCTGCTAAAATGTGATTAGATTCTTGGCTGACTCGAACAAGTTTTCCTCTTGGACTTGCCCATACTTTGCACCATCCATCTTCTCCTTAATCTTGACAAGCTTCCCAGTTCCTGCTGATGAGAAGCATCCCCATAACATGATGCTGTCACCACCATCCTTGACAGTTGGGATGGTGTTGATTAGGTGATGTGCTGTGTTAGGCTTGCACCAGACTTAATGCTTTGAATTTAAACGAAAAAGCTCAATTTTTGTTTTGTTTGACTTGTTTGGAAAGTTCCTTGGTCTTCATGGTTGGATTGTCGTATCACTATGAGAGTTGTGGCTTGAACAGATGCATTTACTCTGAAGTCAAGTTAATCACTTTGATTAAACACAGACAGAGACCATTACACTAATTTTGTACCTTTCAAACTAGTCTTTTGCACCTGAACTGACTTATGGTTCCCATAGCAAAGGGATTGAATTCTTATGTAATTGTGAATATTCTAATTTTCTTTGCAAATCTAACTTTTTTTTTTTTTGGTTTTTGTAGCTTTCTAAGTTTGGAATGGAGTAGATTGTGTAGATTCTAAATATAATGTCCTATTTGAAAGTTTCATGATTACAAGCTCAGACAGCAACAAAATGTGGAAATTTGCAGGAGAGTGAATACTTTTGCAAGGCACTGTAATTAATACATTTGAGAAAATGTTTCACCTAATGTGCAGTATCAACAACTATTCATGTACTGGTTGATTGTAATATAATTTTTGCATAAAAGAACATTGGTGTAGACATTTTGAAAATAGTATAAATTTCTGTTGTTTTATTTTGACTCCAGTGATTAGTTTTATATTATTCTATCTGTTTCCTGTCTCTCACTGCTAATTTTCTAACCCAATCTCTTTCACAGTTTTCAACTTGGAAGAGTTTGCAGGTAAGCTGTAACTAAAACAGCTTTTTTTTTTTACAGCTTATGACATTAATAGCAACTGTACATCTTCTTTGCATGTAGTTCAAATTAAGATTGACACAACTAATGTTGACTGGTTCAAGCTAACTCTTAACATCATACTTATCTAACAGTTTATTACTTGTAAGTTCAAACAATTATGATCTTCTCCAGGTTTGTTTTTAAAAAGAAACCTGATATTATGGTCATGTAACACAAGTCAAGTTTTGTGTTGTATAAGTACTCTAGTTTTTATGAAATGAAGATAAGGAAGATTCTGAACAGTTTCACATTATGTGAAGTAATTCAGATAACATAGTTTTATATTTGATGATGAACTGTACCATCAGATGGTCCTATAACACAAAACCTTGATTTACAATTTATAGTTTGTTTTTCTCTCAGTAGGATAGTATTATGATACAACCAGAGCACCTGTCACATTATATAGTTTTTGTTTTTAGAACGTAAAATAATAAAAAATTTTATTACAGAGCTTGCAAAAATTGATTAATTCTTAAAGGTATAAAATTTCAATTTACAAACAACACTCAAGTACATGAACACTTGTTTTAAACAAATAAGGTTATTGTTGTAATCTGAGGTCTGACTATGTTCCTTTAGTTTAATAATTGCAAAAACACTGCACTAAATGATTAAATCCTAATTGGAATTTGTAATATTATAATTACCTGATCTGAAATGCAAGTGATTAGTCATTTAGCTCATGCTATATCCAGTTATCTCACACAGTCTTGTTTTAGTTGCTACTTTGAAGTGAATCATAGATTTTAAAGTGCTCTAAATTGTTCACAAACCATGACTGAACCTCAAAGAAGACATATAGATGTTTCACATATGTAGAGACCCATAGAATGAATGGAAGCCATACAATCACAGCAAGCTTTTATTAATTGGCTACAATTGTCTTAAAGTGTCATTCAAAGAGCATGGAACCACTTCCAAGTCAGTGGTACATTTGCTCAAACATATGGACAATGTTGATCATCACCCCAACACAAACAGATGGCTACTATCTGTCAATTCTGGCTCATCACAATTGTAGGATATTAAGGATTATGATATTCAGAAAGAAGAAAAATTTTATTATTAAAACAACAACAACTGAAATTGAAGAACGTGATTTTAAGTTTAACCTTTCTAAAAACTTGCAAAATAGAAAAGTTGCTACCAACCTTCCTCAAATTACACTGAACCTTTTAGCCCAATCTAAAAATCAAAAGAATTATAGAAAATGCTCAAATATAACTTTTAAAATAAACTATAAAGGAAAAACAGAGAGAAGTGAAATTTCTCCACGAAAATGAACTTAACCTATGAAGCAACCTTGTTCGTTTGACTACTCCTGAAGATTACAACTTACTTTCATCATTAATACAGAAAAGCACCTACTTTAAAGGCTTAATTATTAAACGAAATTTAGACGAAAAGCTAGAAAAACTTTGCTTGTCAGCACAACCAGACACTGAAGAACAATATAATCAATCTCGCAAACTTTCAACTTAGTGAATTTCAAATCGTAGCCCTAAATAAAGGTCTTAACTAGGCAGTAACTCCTCCAACCATTCCAGTATTAGATTTAAAAACCAGCCTTGAAAGTAATAATTGAATCAAATTGCAAATACAGTCCACTAATCCCAAGTCAAAGACCACAAAATTAATTTGCATCAAATTAATTTTGGGACAACAAAGAATCATCAGAAATATTCAACATTCCGAAAAATAAGAACAATTTAATGAGCAATTTTCCTACCAAGCCAAAAGCAGGTTCATTAAAAAACTTCCTAGATGAATTTAGTGAAAAACTAAACAAAAAGAAGTCTATAAAACAAAATTTAACATCAGCAGGAAGAAAGGGACTAAAACCTCTTAGGATTAATAAAGAATTGTCATTCAAAGAGCTGATAAATGAAACTTGATCGTGATTTTAACAACCAAACAGTATGTTTCTTTATTGGTAAATAAATTGAATGATGCGTCTAAGTTTCTCAGTCAAATACTGACCTTAATCCAACATTATAGCAACATACAACACAAAATTGAGCAAATTACTCAAAATATTATTAAGAGAAAAAAAAAACTGTTACATTTAAACTTTCTAATTTTTTGCATACAAACCAACCTAGAACACCAAAAAGTTACGGTTTACGAAAAATTCATAAAAGTCCAACAGCCTTATGCCCCATTATGTCTTTTATAAATCTTTTAAACTACAACCTTGGTAAATACTTTAACTGAACAACTAGCCACATTTAATTTATTTCAATATAGAGATTCGTACTTTATTCAGTTAGATGGACTTGCCATAGGGAATCCATTATTAGGTACTGTGGTCACTCTTTTCTTACATCACATAGAACACTTCTGTATATAAACCAGCATTTTGGCTTATATATGTAGATGATGTTTTTTGCAGTTCCACTTGTTAAGATGAACAAACAAAATCCCTTCAACACATAAACAATCTACATATAGACATACAAACATAAACAACCTACATATAGACATATAAACATAATCAACCTACATATAGACATACAAACATAAACAACCTACATATAGACATATAAACATAATCAACCTACATATAGACATACAAACATAACCAACCTACATATAGACATACAAACATAACCAACCTACATATAGACATACAAACATGAACAACCTATATATAGACATACAAAAATAAACAACCTACATATAGATAAAACATAAACAACCTACATAAAAACATACAATTCACAATGGAAAATGAAAACAACTACACGATAATTTTTTTAAACATTGACGTCATTCCCTCTCCCCCCAAAGGCTTCATCATTAAAATTCATAGAAAAAACACATACAGCGGAAATTTCATAAACTGGTTTTCTAATCATGTAATCCACCAGAAGCCAGGTACTCTAAAAAGCTTCCTGAGTATAGCATACACTATTAACATATTTAAAAAAACACTTACAAGAGGTGGTTAACAAACAGACAAACAAACTCAAACATTCCATCAAAAAGAAAAAAGGAAACCCACTCACTTACACTATCCCATATACAGAAAATATTAGTATACCTCTATCAGAAATTTCGAAAAAACTAGCAAGTAAATATAACCTTAATAGAATGCCTGGGTTCGTTTTCACCCCTGGACTAACATGACAGTTAAACACATGTTGAGAAAATTATATAATGAACTCACCACACCTGGAAACATTTATAAAATGAAGCGTAACAGTTACCCAGTCTTTTACACAGGTGAAATGGAATGTAACTTGAAGATCAGGTTAAAAGAACACTCCCTTCCCAAGTCCATGAGCATATGAATAAAAACAAACACAGTTTTCTGAACAGAATGTCACAGTACTAAAACATGAACCTGACATTAACAAAAGAAAAATTAGAGAAGCTTTATGAATAAAATGAAACAATCCCACAATTAACAAAGACCCAGACATATCTATATATCTTTGATCCTTATTTTCCCACACATTCTTAATCTTATGTAAATATTTTGCATAACATGTTCTATATATATATTCACTTTTGCCTATTTAGCCATAAATAAATAATCTGTCAATTCATGCCGATTGATATTTATATGCATAAGTAACCACTTGAATTTAAGTGCATTGTTAGATTGTTGATTTAAGTACTGAATAATATTAATGCTACCAATTCATTTCTTTCTTGAGAAAGTTCACAATTTGGATGATGAGAACAAATTGTATACATATATTGGAAATTATGCTGTAATAGTCAATGTTGATGTTGTGCACTTGTTTTAACCGTTATTTCTTCAACAGTAAACATTAATATTGGATATTCTGCAGTAGTCTTTAGTATAGTATGTTTTTTAGTAATTTTAAGCATTAAGCATTTTTGTTTGATATTCCTTAGGAAACATTACTACTAAATGTTCATCCATTACTACAGTCTACCGTATTTTTTACAGTAAATTTTTGAAGTGGCTATCCTGCATCAGATATTAGTACTCTATTTCCTGCAATAATCTAAAGTACTGGATATTGTACATTAAGTATTTATTTATTATTATTAATATTGTATTAGTATTTGTGTGATACTATATCACAATAAGGTTATTAATAATTTGAATTGCGTTATCCTTTACATGCTCAATATGAATTTCCAATAAGAATAGTGAATAATATTGCCAGAACTATTTCCTCATTGTTATCAAGGCTTTGCTCAGCACTAAAGCTCTTTAGGCCTATAACATATGAAGCTTTGTAGGAATGCTATTTATATCAATTATAAGACAATAAATCGTAGGGTTTATGGATATCTTAGCTGGTGAAGCATCACATTTAGTTGTACGGTGAGTATGTCAGATATTATATCATGGTAAAACTGATAGTAATTTAACTCACAACATTCTTTATTTGCCCAATATGAAGTTCTAGCAAGGAGAGAAGGAGAAAGTATAATAGCGTTTCATCTATACCTTGTCTATTGCATGCTACTACAAACGAGGCCTTTCATTCACTACCACAACTCATCAGGTCAGCTGGACTACAACATACAAATCTTAGTTGAAATACCAGCTATGCCAGTTGAGATGACAGTTCTTAGGATATTAAGTGACTTAAATTGTTATCAGTTTGGTTATAAAGTGGTTTGGTTGTAATTGACACACATATCACTACCGAATGTCCTGCTTCAGTGACTAAGATATTCCACACTCTGCAGTAGTCATTAGTATTGTATGTTTTGTGATAATTCTAATGAAATGATGTTCTATATCGATTTCTAAGCATTGGTAGTTCTGCAGTACCATTGTTACTGGATATTTCCCAGCCACACAATAAACTATAGTATTGGCTGTTTTACAGTAACCTTTGCTGCTAGATATTCAACAATAAAACATTAGTATAATTTATCTAGTTTGTTTATAATTAAACCTATCTTAATCTACATATAATACCCATTAAATAAACCAGGACTATTAACTACCAAACAACGGAACCAGAATTGTTATTTTTAATCTAATCGTGTTGAAGGTTTTTTGCATTGTTTTTCTGGAGAATTATTTCTAAATGAAGGGTTCATCTTCTAGAAATGTCACTTTCTGGATTTGCATGTTTTATGATACTAATACAGTTGTTTTTCTAGTAACACTGTTTTCTGTTTTGTTACTACAAGCTTTTAACATAATAACATCAATAGATGTTATAACATTTCTAGTCACGTCAATGTTTGAGTTTAAAACTTCTAATCCCATCATTGCCCGAGTTTATCCTATCATTAGCACTGCTGCAATTTTCTAATAGTAATATCAGCATTTAAATTTACTGACTCTAGTACTGCTACATAATGTCTTTTTGTGACATCAGTGTTTGAATTTACTGTTTGAGTAATATTGCTAGAAGTTCAGAATCTTTTGTAGTTATGCTACAATTTTTCAGCTTCTGGCACAGCTGCCTATTGCTACATCCATTTTTTTGCTATTAACACAGCTTTCTGCTTCTTGTTTTTAGCTGAGTGTCACATAACAGATGAAGTCTTTAGTACATCAATATTGTGAACGGTAATTGCTTTTTTTCTCTCCTTCTGTTGTTTGATTTATGCTGATTGCAGTGTCTTAAACTGACATGAACAGGGAAGTTAACTAACTCAGTGCTCTTTCTGTATCTTTTTTTGTGTATTATTAACATCACCTCATTTTTTACATATCTAATATAATTATTAATATTAAGTTAATATGTTTGTAGTAATATCAGTTGTACCATGACTATTATGTGGCATATAGATTTGCATATAGATCAATACTGTAAAAACATAAAACAGTAAGAAACAAGAAACGTAAACTGAAAATCACTAAATAGTCTGTCTTTTGATAAAGTACAAAATCATTAAAGCATAAAACCTAGGAGCTGCCAGGGCCATTTTAACCACTGGGCAGTTGCCCAGGGTCCACTTAAGAATGATACTAATGAACCAGTTTTTAAATATATTTTTCTTTTTTTTTACTTCCTTATTCTTTTATCACTAATAAATTTATTTTATCAAATTGTATCATATTTTCTTAAAAGCAAGATGAGCAGGAGGGGGAAGGCACTAGTTTTCATTTTGCCCAGAGCACACCATTGCTTTCATGCAGCACTGGGAACTGTGTCCTTTCCATGTGTTTTTAAAAATATAAGTGGCACTGCTGGTAGTTATTACTGTATAGTGTAACTGAAGCAAACAGTTTTTGGAGGGATTACAAAAGAGCTCAAGTTAATGGAGTGATATAGTCAGAGATAATGTTTCTAGTGTGTTACAGTTTGAAAGAAAATATTTTTCTGTAATTTTTCTTGGAGACAATAAAGTTCTTGAAGTGATATAATTTAAAATCTTAAAGATATGGAAATATATAAGGCAAATTTTTGGAGTTGTGTTTCCAAAGAGAGTAACTTTACAGAGTTCAACATTAATTACTGAAAGCCAAGGGCAAATAAGGAATGCATTGATTTGGACTAGTTGCTGAAGTGACACACTAGTCCAATGAGGCTAGTGGCTTGATACTGAGTGTCTGTTTTATTTTTTGTTACTTTTTTTATGTACTCTCATATTTCATTTGTTGTTTTTTTTTCATGGAAAAATGGTGATGTTCATTTCCTAAACTCAACATGCTGAAATTGTTTATTTCCGAAACCATGAAAGAAAGTAATTTAGCAGCCAATCAGAAAATTATTTTCTTTCTCTGCAGATCAACATCGGTACACTACTAAGTTTGTTGTTTTAAAGTCTCTACAATCATACCAATCTAAAGCATCTTTGGACATATATACATTTTCGTTACAATGTTAAATCTATTTAATTATCTATTGAATAGACTAAATATGTTTGGTATTTATTTACAATAATTACGTTTTGAATATTTAAATGATTTTGACAAGGCTTGGAAAAGATACAATGTTTTGTATACATATTTTAAGAATGAAACAAATTTCTGTGATGTGCAGATATATGTATATATATTTGAATAGTTTCTAGCATGATATAGTTTCAGAGAGCAAGTGTCTGGTCTAATATAACTGAAGAGAACAAGTTTCTTGAGTTATATGATCATCAACAAGCCATAAAACCATGTAGTATAATAGAATAAGTTTGTATAGTAACAAAGTTTGAAGATAAGAAGTAGCATGTTCGTGAGTACCTGTTGGTGGGGTTTGCAAGTTAGATGGTCAAATCTGCTTGACTTTGTAGAATGCAAATACTAGTAGCGTGTGTGACCAATTAGAGATTTTGAGTTAACTTGTGTATGGAAAAAATTATCACCTCTAGTTTTTCAAAGAAAGATTAACTATAAAATTGCATTTTAGTGGAACTTTGGTGATGAAAAGTTAAAACTTAAGACAAATATCAATAGTTATTTATTAAAGTTCACATATTTAAAATATATATATATTTTAAGACAATTGTTTCTGTAATCATCTACTATTTTAACTTAAATCAATGTCAGATATATAGTATACTTTTTTTCTGACATATCTATATATGTTGTGTAATTAATTTAACATTGTGGTAAGTTTCTGCTATTCCTCTTACAATATGTTATGAGAAAAAATGTATTTTTACCATTTAAAAATAATTTTTCAAGTTTTGAGTTCTTAAGGTACTGATAAAATTACTTACTTTAACAGAATTTGAAGAGATACTTCATGATGAACATGCTGTGTTTGATTTTTCCTCCACAAAATGTTTTATTTATTTCAATTAGTATGTTTTAATGAAAAAAAAAAGACTGAAAACAAATATATAGAAATAACTATACAAGTACTAAACTTGCAGAGATTACAATGTCTTATCTGATTTCTTCAGGGATCCTGGACTCAGACCCTTGGGTTAACAATGAAGCAAGAATTTTATCAATCACACAACTTACAGTCTTCCTCTCTAACACCCAAACGAGTTGACAGCCATAGACGAGTAAAGTCACAAGGCCATATTGAATCATTGACCATTACTCCAGTTTGAGGATATCATTTTTACAGCCTGAGAATTCAAATAGTTAACTTCAAACATTGCAGAACATTTGTGTCAAGCTGAATGACCATGGTGACAAAAACCCTACCTTAACTCAGTCAGGTCAAGACTATTAGATGTCTGTACATGTTGCCATGGCAACATTATTGTTGTTCTTGTGATTTTGCTTGGATACAAACAAATGAATTAATACTATAGCTGTGTATAGGTATTGTTTATATATCAGAAAACAAGTTTAATTTTTTTTTTTTGAATTACCACATGATCCTTTTTCCATACTGATTGTGTGTATACATAAGATAAGGCAGTACTTATCTGATTCTCTGTGTCTTCTGATGTAAATAGTATTGCCATTTAAAAGTGTTAATGGTGTAGTATTAAGAAAAAGATTTTTCAATATTCTTGAATATTGATCTTGGTTACTTAATATTTATTATATGCTAGTATATATGTTAAATGCTACTAAGGTACCTAGTAGAATGTAAAATATTGAAAACACACTTGAAATACAAAATATACTGTTTGTGTATAAAAACAGCATGAAAAAAGTTGCCAACTTATTACTAATACATTTAATCATATCATGTAAACACTGTAATTTGGTGTCAGTGAAACAATGTTAAGTACAAGAAATACATAAAACATAAAAACCTTTGTTCATATCAAAATACAGTGAAAAAAAGTTGCTACAGTAACAAAAAAAACATTATAGTTAGAAATTACTTTGATAAACAAGTTGTTGTTTTAAAGAGACAGTAAAGTTTAATGTCAGATTCACTGCACAGCAAATCAGACACAGCTCAGTCCATGTTTCCTATTAATCTTGTTTCGTATTATTACGTTTAAATATTTTCGAAGGTTATTCTTACTTTTTCTTCCTCTCTTTACTTACATGAAAACAACGAGATAGCTAATGCTCAAAGTTAAAAGAAGAATTTAATGTGACTGTGATACTATTTGATTTTATAACCCTTTATAAAACATTTATTATAAGCCTTGCTTTATATTGGGTTATTACTTAATTATCTGGTATGTTTTGGAATAGGAAAAACCTAACAGGTTCAATACACAGGCTATACACATATTTTTTAAATTACTTGCATATTTACCCGAAGACCTGAGAAAGTGAGTACAATAAACTGTTTTGTCACACTTGTTTATTTGAGAAAAGAAAAACTGGTCTAATTATGATTTAAAAAAATGTAAAGAATAAATTAGGATGACAAATAATATGTTAATTTTGAGAAAGAGAATAATATTCTTTGTAATATATATATAATTTTAAATGGGGCTTTAAACTTCTAATTATTGTCTGAAAGTATAAATGTAAACTATTTAAATATGCCTATTATTGAACATGATCACCCCATCTCATAAATAGTGTGAATACCAACTAAAATAAGTCTACAATTGGTTTCTTGTCAAGAATGAGAGAAAAGGTGGTTACTTATGTCAGGTTTACTTTGTTTTAAAGAGATTATAAGTTTTTCCTATTAATGAAATAAAAAATTATAAACAAAATGTCATAGAATTCATCTTGAAGTATAACACTTTTTTCATCAAGATTGATCCTAAAGGTTTTATTTAATATTCTGAGTTCCAAGCTATAAATTTTGAACAAATGTTCTGACAAAGAATTTTCATTTTCCAGAAATGAAACTTAAAAAAAACAACCAAAAATAACAAAAACAAATTCATAGGTTATTTTGATGAAATATGGGAACAGTATAGTTTTCTGTGCCTTTATGGGACCTAAATCTTCTACAGAGTTTAGAATTTTTTAATGTAATTTGTTTTTATTTTTTTGAAATGTTTAAATCATATGAATGTCTAATTTTTTGTTTTTCTTTTTAAACAAGTTGTAGTTTCAAAATATATTTTCTTATTTATTTGGTATTATGTGTAGATATTTCACTTCCCACAGATCTCAACTTTCATATAACTTTTTTTTTTTACTAACTCTTAGACTTTGTGTTTTTAGCTATTATTGGAAGATTGAGAGGAGTGAATTTAGCTGAAATCAAACATGCCAGACATTACTTTTCAGATAAATCCCATATTATTATTTATTACTCCTGTGATAAGATTTGCCATAATTAGTATGATGTAAGATTTCAAGTAGAAGTCTTCAATAACCAACTTTGGAATATTATTATAATGTTAAAAAGGTCATTGATAGCAAACAGTAAAAGTTCATTTAGGAAAGAATGGAAATTTGTCAAAATATTCCAACATTGATGTTCAATTATTTGTTTGGTATGAATGATAATCTTTTTAACACTGATCCTTTAATCTTCATTCTTGAAAATCTACCTCGTAAGTATAGTTGTGTAAAACTTAGATCAAAATGAATATAAATCTTTGTATTCACTGAAGTTTACAAATATAAATGTACATTAATTTAAACTCATTCAAAGTTATGATAAAACAAAAGGCTTAGTATATCAGCTTTTATGTAATTTTTGTCATTACTAGTTTTATTTATTGTTCGTCGTGTCTGGAATATATACTAACTGAGATGAAATGATTAAACTTAAGTTATACATAATCATAAAATATCATTTCTTTAAATCACTTATTTGGTTCAGATTATTTTAGTTACTCTTACTCTGAGAGTTTTTTGCTTTACTATTTGATTAACTTGTTAAATATTAAACTTTTGCTAAAGTCGCGTATTTTATTCTAAGAAGTGTTTCTGCAGTACGTGCTTAGAAATATCTTATTCAAAGCAAGTAAGCCCTACTGTTGACAAGTATTCTACATTCATATGAAGACCACAATTCAATATTGTATATTTCTGTGTCTAGACCTGCTTTTTTTTTGTCAAGCCGATTATTATGGATGAATAAATTATGAAATTTTAATTATCAAAACATGATTTCATGAGAACCTTTCTTTACATATTGTATTTTATTTTTCAGAGAATAAACTGTTGTACACTGAATAATTTAATCAACTAATTATTGTTCATGTTTTGGCGTATAAGTATTGTTTGTTCGAAACTAAATGGTAACCTCAGTAGGATAAATAAAAAGAATTTACAGGACTATGTATTACACTAACATGAACATTAACTCTGCAGATACCCAAATGTTTCTGAATACAATCCTAAACATTGCTTGAAAGTAGCATAAGTTCGTGAAAAGCATGGCATGAGTTGTTTTATTTATATGGTAATATATGTGTACCTATATATATATATATATAATTTAACATTTATTTTACATATTTACTCATGTAACCCAATGAAACACTGTTTATTTACTTAAGTTTGAATTGTTAAGATATGATGCTTTCATGAAGAGTTTAAGTGTTTAAAAATAGCAAAAAAAAACAAACAAATATAGACGCATTACGAGATATATTTCGGAATATATGTTGCTGTTAGATATATCCTTTTGGACTACGTGACCATTATGTAGGTAAGTGAGCGTTAGATGGTAGAGACTGGAAATCGTTTTAGAAAAGTTGTTCAATCACTTTAATAAATTATTGAGATGTACGAGTTCCTGGGGATGGTCAGGCTAGATCAATGTTTAGCCTAAAAGACGTATTTATTCATGTTTTTAAAAGTAATGCTTTCTAGTGTGCTAGAATTAGAATACTGACTCAATATATTTTCTTTGACATCACTACATTAATTGCTATAAAAGCCAGGGGTTTTCCAAGTGTGCAGTTTATCACAAATTGTGCACCTGTAAAAATATTTGTGCAGTTGAAAATTCACATATATAAGTAAGTAAAAATGGATAAGTATTAAAAAAATAAAATATAGGTAATATTCTGTTCCAGAGTTGATAAATAAATGTATATACTAGAATATTCTTCATTTTATGGATCATGTGTTACTAGGCCTGTATATGTGGGGTGCAATAAGGTGTCATGTATTAAAAGATGATGAAGTTAAAATATAATTGTACAGTTGAAAAACAAATTCTAAGGAAAATAAAAGCTAAATCAAATGTCAATACTTGTATGTTAAAGTAATATTAGCATAGTTTAAAGTACAGAATCTGACACCATTTTGAGGTTGCGAATTTTATTGGTTTGCACAGTTTTTAAAAATACAAACCAACATCGTCGAAAATACTGTCTTACCTGATAGAGCTATCATAATTAACATCATATTTTTATCGAACAAGTCACTGTAACCTACCTCTGCAATTTTTTAAAACTTCCCTTACTTTTATATCAAAAAGTAGTTTTTACTAAAATATTTCATTCATAAACCTTTTGTTTCAATAATAAGTACACTCTGTTGGTAAAAAATTCACATTAAAATTAAATGAAAATACAAATTCAGTTTCAGATACAACAAACAAAATATTTCACAACTAAAACAAAAACAAAACGTAAATTTAACACATTCTAGGACAAAAAGTTAAAACATAACACAAAGTAGGTCAAAAATAGAATGATCTGTTTTTATTATCCTAAAGCCATTACCCTTTGGCCAGAAGTTGGCAGCATGATTAGTTTCAGAGGATTACCTAGCATCATGACATACTTCCGCCTTGACATCACAGGGCGAAATAGTGAAAACAATCTCACTACAGAATCTGGTACTTTTTCACTCACCCTGTAGTTAATGGCAATTAAACTAAACAAGATCTTGAAAATACAGATTCGTTTTGTCGTTATAACCATTCTTATTACGTTCAGGTAAAGGTAGTCTATGAAGACCCACTTCAGGTAAAACTGTACTTGCGACTAATTGCAACGTGCGAGTGTGACGACAGCGCCACCACTGGTCGACTCCTGTCTCTGCAGAGTGTATGTGGTGGCGCCATCTATGGTCTTATTAAATTAAATGAATTATGATTCAAAATTTCAATGAATTCGATAAATCTAAGGACAGATTACTTTGTCTCTCATACTTATCAGTTGCAGTAACATTAATTTATTGTTGTCTATGTTCTAAAAGCCTAAATTATCTTGCTAGTTGCTTAGCGTCCAAAGTATAGGCTAATTAGAATTGTTCCTATTACCAACAAACATAGTGGAGCAATAAAATATATAGGACGGAATAAAGAAACAACTTTGTTTTTACAAAAGCCACTTATTTCGCGCCAATCACTACTTAAGTTACAAAACCATGCTTTAAATACAATACTCTCTTTTTTGTTTTTCCAAAACCATAGACAAACAAAGTTTAGCACTGAAAACAATGTGATTTGTTTGGCTGTTTAAATGCAAAGTTGCACAATGTACTAGATAAACTGTGCCTATCGCAGAGATTGAACCCCTAAATTTAGCTTTATAAGCCATCAAACTTACTGCCGAGCGACTGGGGAAAATTTTTACCACCAATAAGCAATAGTGTGAGCTCAGGTACCAGGAAATGTTTTGATTTAAAAATTAATTTTGACAATAAGCAATGGTTTAAGCTCCGATGTGCTAAACGTATTTATATTCCCACTGTTTTAATCGATACGCTCTTAATTCCGGAACAACATTGAAAAGTTAATAAAATCTTTGCTGACTGTTTAGTTTTATAGCTAATTCTAAACCGTTACTAGTTAGTGTTTTTCAAATAAGTGTTGGCAAAACTCGTTTTGTTTTATCCCTGAATAAAGATTCTGATTGCCAACTAAATAAAACAAGTTATCTGAATATGTGTTTAAAAGCTTGGCTTTTTTTTAACTTCAACTTTGAGAATATGTATTTGTAATGTTACAAATTGTAAAGTTTATAATGTGCACGAAGCAAAACACTGGGCCATCTCATTAATAACAGCTGATCAAAAATTCTTTTTTTTTGACAAAAGTAATTGCGTAAAATTGGACGAATGTGTATTGCATAAATTGAGTTTCCTATCACAGTTTGAACTGTCAAAAAAAAGAATGATTTCATCAATAAAATTCAAGCCTCGGGAAGCGTTTCCTCAAGGTTGATCCTGTGTACTTGTATTGAGTGTCGTGTTTATGTAACAGCGCTGTTTATCAGTTTGACAGACGTCATACAGGAACAACAAACATCACCGCCAATTTCCGAGATTTTTTCTCTGTTGAAGCGTAAAAGTAACAATTGATTTGGTTACGATAATTATGGTTGTGAACCTTCGACTATCACTGTCACACACTTCTCTGTCATATGATCGGATACGGTGATAGGAACATTTTATTTCTTGCTTCCTACATTTTAAGAGAGGTATCAACACTTCCGTTAGACATCATGTCGATCTTCCTTTCCTCTAGAATGTGTAAATAACTTCATAGCCTCACCACTAATTCTGAGAGTACTTGGGAATAGTTTTGTTCAACATTTAAAGCTGGCAGCGAAATGGTTTTTTCTCCGTCGTTCAACGACACAACTGATAGAATTGGTTGTTGGTCGTTTCGTCCACTCCCGCCACTTGCTTTTTCCGCTGTTGGAAGTAACGGAAGCAAACTCTCAGTGGCAGTACTGACCAAACAAGGATCTTCTTGTCGGACATTTCTCGAATTTTTTAGGCAACTCGTTTTCTTTGGTCTGGAAGGTGAAAGAAAAAACAACAACAACACGTTTAAGTCAAAATACAAATCAAATAAAAATGTTCATCTATATGTCAACTAAGGTTTGTTTGTTTGTTTTTAATTATGCACAAAGCTACACAAGGGCTATCTGTGCTCTGCCCACCACGGGTATCGAAATCCGGTTTCTAGCGTTGTAAGTCCGCAGACATGCCGCTGTGCCACTGGGGGGGCGTCAACTAAGGTAAAATATTATTCTGACAACTGCATTACCATCACAAACACTGGAAGTACAGTGAAAATATTTGAAAGGTTTTAAAATGTTTAATACGGAAGGAAAAACTAACAAAAATATGGATAAAATGATGGAAAACTGATTGGGTGAAGTTCTTAACAGTCAACAAATATATTAGAAACCTGGTTATCCGGCTAGCGACGAGATATGTGTCAGACATTATTTTTCATTTAAGTAAAATTTTTTAGATCTAAAACATAGCTCTGTTTTTAATCATATTTTTGTATTTTAAGTTCATAGCAAAAGCTCTTCAATCTTTTTATATGAAAAAGAGAAAGACAAAACGATGCCTTGTAAACTATGATTATTCAGCTCCTCACATATTTTTTTACTGTTTGTAGTTAAGCACAAAGCTACACAAAGGGCTATCTGTGTTCTGCCCACCCTGGGTATCAAAACCCGATTTCTAGCGTTGTAAGTCCGCAGACATACCACTGTGCCACTGTTTTTTTGTTTGTTTTTGTTACTGAAAAACAATTACATTAGTTGATGTATTTAAGTGCTTTATACTCACAAAAAAAAAGAACCTATCATTCTATAGGTATTTGAAAAACTTGTAGCATTTCGCCAAGAGGCGTAATGCTACGCGTTCTTCT